TTATCCAACACTATTAAAAGATCTTTTGTTTTTCAGGTTTAAGCTCCATTTTATGGTTATGGATCAAACTGCAAAAACAAAAGTGATGCTTCTTGACAAGGTGGCAAATCTCATCATGCCCGTATCAGCAACTGATCTACTTGAGGGTTCGTTTGATGAGGTAATTCATTGTTGAATGATGTACACGGTTTATCATGGTTCCTAACATAGTACGTGTTTTTTATACAGATGGTGGATACAGAAGATTTCCCTCAGCCTATAAAAGATTTAGTGGGAAAGACTTTTCAGTTTGTTGTCTTTGTTGCGAAAGAAAACATGTACTACGGTTTAGAGACCTATAAGGTTGGGAATGTTTGGACTGGAAATGATCTAAGTCTACCAACAGAGACTTCCTTGGACACTCTAACACAAGTTGACAATTTGTCCACAATTGTTTCAAGTGACGAGGTATTGGTTGTTTGTATCCGCTTATAATTATGCATCTCTTCTTATATTATCTAACATAGTTATTATTATATTAGCTTTCTATAATTAATAGTAGCACTGAAGGAAATTCAAATGTCAGCACAACACCTTCTTCTAAGCGATCTTCTGAAGAGTGTGAAGAATTACCTGATCTTTCATCAACATCAAAGAAGCTGTGCACCAAGTCCATCAAGCTGGAGAAGATCAATGATGAAGATTCAAAAACAAAACATGAGAAAAATGTTGTCGAAATCAAAGCTAAAGCTGAGCCTAAAACTAGCGATATCAAGCAGGAGCAGATGATACAAACAAAGAAAACATCCACTATTTGATCGACAAATGCTGTGAAAGACAGAGACGGTGAAGTGTTAACAAAAGTGCAATATAAGCTATGAGTCCCTAAAACCCGTCCATTCTCAGTTGATCCCAAAGGCTTCGTTACCATGAATCTTTCTTTCAAGTTTTTATCATAAGACTTCTTTTTTTTAATTTCAGTTATTTGTTCTTTTGGTTTAGTCTGAGGGAAATAAAATAATTTCAATATAATAAAAGGTCTTTGGGAATCAAGCATTTTATTTGGATTTGTGTTAGACATCAAATATCTATATACTTGCAACACGAAATTAATGAGAATAAGTAAAACATACCTTAGTAGTGGATTGTTCTCAGATCGATATTATACTCGGAGAAGCCCAAAACATCCCCCTCTCTGAAAAAGTAAAAGGACCATTGTTCACATAAATTTCTTTATAGGATAAGATTTTGGTATTTGATTTTGACCATTAACTACAATCTTTTCGATGGTTATCGATGATTACAAAAATATATTTTACTGTATTGGGCTAAATAAAATTAATGAGAAGAAGGAATAGATACCTTTTAATGTAATGGGCTCATTATGTATGGGCTATTCTCATACATAAAATATCCAGAAGCCCAAAACTCAACCTTCCTGTAAAAAAGTTATCGGAGCATTGGAGATATCACTATTTTCAGAGGATAAGATTTTTGTAACTGATTTCGACCAATAACTACAAAATTAATGACAAAAACTTTTGTCAAATCGATATCTTTACACAGTATATTTTCTGAAAAGTTTCTGAAGATCAAATATTTTGAAAACTTACCGATGCAATGCTATTGTGTGGTCTTTTCCCATTCCTCTTTTCCCCAAACGTCACCTACAAATCTGACAATAAGATTAATTTAGTTCTACGAATTGCATTGATAGCTTTTCGAAATTCATTAAATAATTAAAAGAATGCATTGCATCTAATCACGTAACCTAGTTCGCATCTCTCTATATATAGAAGATCAAGGAGTATAACTTGAACAAACAAATCCTCTTTCCTCAAATTCTATCTTATTTCTAAAATCATGGCTGTTTACTATGACAAAGTCATTGATCTGCATCCATGGAAGTCTGATTTTAGTATGCGTCTCAAAGTTCATAGAAAGTGGCATACTATTGATCATAATGGAGTTGAGTCTCTCCATTTTATGCTTGCTGATGAACATGTAAGAAAATAGTTCCCTATTTATAATTTATTTGTAGATCGATAAGTTTTTACAAATATTTGGAACAATTAGAGGTTCATCGCAAATTACTAACTATATTTTCTTTATTCTAAACAAATATGCAGGGTGAAAAGGTTCATGGTTATATCAACGCGGAGTGGATGTTACCATATTTTGACCAAAAAATGATAGAAGGAGAGTGGAAGAAAATATCCAACTTTACTGTCATCAGAGTTCATAATCTTCATCGATTAACTGAAACCGACAAAGAACTCAGTTTTCTGGAGAACACAGAGGTGCACAGATGTAGCTATGATAGCGAAGACCACTTCATGAATTTCAAAAGCTTTGATACGGTTTTCAACCATCATGTACTCCTGAATATTCCAGTTGGTAAATACTTAGAACTCTAACTATTCTATACTATATAATCCTATATTTCTTAATGTCTGTTTAATCAAACTCTCATTTTATTGTTCATATAGATGTAATTGGGAAAGTTGCTAATGTTGGAAATTTAGAGTTAGTCCATGATGATCTGTTTCCACCTGAGTCTCCTAAACAAATATGCCGTCTAATGTTCACCATTGTCAATAACGAGTAAGGAACTTTTAATTATAAAATTAATAATTTTTGATGCATGAATGTTTTTAAAACATTAGTAATTTTTATATTGGCAGTGATGATTCGATTCAATGTGTGGCATTTGGGAAATTGGCTGAGGCTTTTAATCAGCATTGGTTCTGTCTTAACGATGCTAATGATGTTGTTGTGCTATCTGATTGGCGTCCAAGGACTATTGAAGGTATATTTTATTTGTTTATATGTGTTCCAGAATTTAATCAAATGAAAGTTGCAGTTAATGACAAACAAGTTAATGTTTTATTTAATTTTAACTTAGGAATTGAACAATTGATGGATGAGAGAGGCGTTTCTCAATGTTGGAGAAGTGTTTGAATTCAAAGAAAACCTGTAAGTTTGATAATCCTATATGTATCATGATTATCTCCTTTGGCTTTGAATTCAAACACTTCTCCATCATCATTGTTTCTCCAACTGATACTTCTTTAAACTATTTTTCATATTGGATCTACAATTATTTCATGAAAAAAAAATCAGTATTCAAATAACTCTTTATTCTATATTTATATACATAGTATGAGAATCAAACTTATCTTGAGATGCTCTGCATTATACATTTTAAAATCTTCATATAATTTCGATCCTCCATCCAAATATGGACATGTAATGAAAACATAGGAAGATACAGTTGTTAATTTCATGATCTTTTAGCTTATGTTGTAAATAGAACAGTATTATGACCTACGCATAAGAAACTATGAAAATTGAATAGGTGATGTGTTTTAATACCTCATCATTTCAGCTAAGTTTCAAAGGCGTTTATATTAATAACCTGTAAATCATGACAAGAAACGATGGTAAATAAAAACATGTTATAAATTGTTGTCAACTTTAAAGTTTTCAAGTTCAACTTTAAAGTTTTCAAGTTCAAGTTTTCAAGGGAACAACTCTTTGTTTCGGACATCAAAATTACGAACATTATCAAAATCTTGCAAAATCTAAACTATTTGATAGAGATTTTTCTTACCTACATATCGTAGCTTTCTCGGATGAAAGATTGTTGAGTTTGATGGGCTTTTCCTTTTGCAACGATTTGGAAAAATAATTGCCTGTAATAAGAGGAATAAAATTAAATTACATAATCTGTACCTTCAACATTTATACTTATTTATATAAAATGGTAAATACATACCAATGATAAGTATATCTGTTTTGGCCCAAATATTTTACGAAAACTTCAGTATAATATGTTTTATATTCAAGAACCATATATATTGACCTGCACTTATCTACATAAAAAACAAGAAATCAGTGATATATTAAAGAACTTCTATCAAAACTTATTTGAATCGTAAAGACTTGAAACTTATCTTTCTCGATTGAGTTGAAGAAATATTCATTTAGGACATTCCTTCCTCCAAAGATGAACGTGTAATAAAATCATAAAAAACGAGATGTTAATTTTACTGAACTTGGACTGGTTATTGGAAATTTTTGGATCAAGAAGTAACTAAAAGAGTTTAAGCTAAGTATTGTAAACTTATACCTCATCACTTCAGTTTTTTTGGACCCGATCCAATATATTATAACCTATAAACGAAACAAACAAACGATTATCAACAAATTCAGGCTATAAATTGATTTTTATTTAAAACGGAATAAATTATAGACGAAGATTTAAAATAGATGAAAACAAAATTTTCAATCCAAACCAGATTTGATAATCTCTTGATTTATGATGAAAAGGAATCTATATTTTTCGTTTCAAATATGACTAACATTCATATAATCTTTCAAAATCAAAACTAGCACATGATTGAAATTTGCTTACCCAGATTTTGGTCGGAAGTTCCGTAGTCGCCAACATCTGATTTCGGACCCGTCGCTTTGATTTCTTCCCTCAGCCGATCGATCAAAAATCAGATCCGGTAATTATCTCCATAAATCCGAATTATCGAAGGTTAAAGAGAAGAGCAAGACGAAGATCTGGGTGAGGTTAATCGCATTCCGACGGAGAAGACAGCTGAGATTTTTGTCAATAACAATTCCAGACCAGATAAAAAAATCACGATTCTGTCTAAACAAAAAAAATTAGATACATATGGGCCAAGACAATATTTGACTAACCCCATAATAAACCTGACAGTAATTTTCAAAATATCTTGGACCGGCCCATACTCACAAAATTTTAAACGCGGGTCCAAAATCTAGTTACCTAGTTTAAGAGGAAAGCAAAAGCAAAATCCTTTTTTTTTGTACGAAGCAAAAACAATATCCTTATCAAAGAGCGTTACGTGATTAATATTGTTCACCTCCCAACTTAAATTTGATTAATGAACATTTATGACAAGCTACGTAGTTAGTTTAATCTGTGTGGTTGACATTTGTCAGTTTTTAAACTATAACCCAAAACCCTAACTCACTTACGTCTATAAATCTGTATCTAACCAACAACACAAGACCCCAACAAAACATAAGCAAAATAAGCCGTGACCAAAAAGAAAAATATGTATTTGACAATCATATTCCTCTTCATCAGCCCCTTTGTTCTTTCTCTTGTATTTCTACTTAGAAAAGATAAATCACACTTTTCGTATCCTAACCTTCCTCCGGGAAAGGCCGGCTTTCCATTCATCGGAGAGAGTTTCTCCTTCCTCACTACCGGCCGTCAAGGCCATCCGGAGAAGTTCATCACGGACCGAGTTCGTAACTTCTCCTCAGGTCTCTTCAAGACCCACATATTTGGCTCTCCCACAGCGGTGGTGACCGGTGCCTCCGGGAACAAGTTTCTATTCACCAACGAGAACAAGCTCGTGGTCTCTTGGTGGCCAGATTCCGTGAATAAGATCTTCCCTTCTTCAATGGAGACAAGCTCCAAGGAGGAGGCCAAGAAGCTGAGGACGCTTCTTATGCCGTTCTTGAAGCCTGAAGCTTTGAAGAGATATGTAGGTGTTATGGATGAGATGGCAAAAAGACATTTTGAGACGGAATGGGCCAATCAAGATCAACTCATTGTCTTCCCTCTTACCAAAAAGTATGTAATATGCATGAGTTCCAAACTAAACGACAAATTGACATCTAAAATAAGATGTCAATTGACATCTAAACTATCGGTTTTAGAGTTTTTCTTGTGGAAAAAGAAAATTGATCTTCAACTGCTCTTTTCCTTGAAACAGGTTCACGTTTTCAATAGCATGCCGTCTATTTCTGAGCATGGACGATCCCGAAAGGGCAAGAAACTCGAAGAGCCATTTAAGATGGTAGCGACTGGGGTCTTCTCAATTCCAATTAATTTACCAGGAACTCGGTTTAACCGAGCCATCAAGGCGTCGAGGTTGCTTAGAAAAGAAGTTTCGGCGATTATGAGGCTGAGGAAAAAAGAGCTCAAGGCCGGGAAAGGATCAGCGGAACATGACGACATCTTATCTCACTTGTTGATGAGTATAGGAGAGACCAAAGAAGAGGATGTCGCTGATAAGATTATTGGACTATTAATCGGAGGATATGACACAGCAAGTATTGTATGTACTTTCCTTGTCAGCTATCTTGCTGATTAATCTACGAACGTGTGCTACAAGGTACGCGTCTCCTAGATTTCTTCTCTCTTCCTTTTTGTATTATTCTAATATGTTTAGGTGGCGCTTTTCTTTTTATACGTTTTTTTAACATTTTTATTTCTTTTTGTACTTTCCTTCACGACAACTAGAAAACGAGACAAATCTTATAAACTATTTTTAGTTATTAGGCTTTTAACTCGCGCATAGCACGAGTTTGTATTAATAATTTGGTTTAATTTTTTGGTTAATATCTTTTAAATTATTAAATCCTATAATATATTTATAAAAAATTTCTTATATATAAAAAAATTAAAATATTATATGTAGTATTTCCTGTTTTTGTTTATAAAATTATAAATCTTATTAAGTAAAATCATAGTAATGACACCTACCGAATTATCCAACTTTGATGTGCATATATTTGATCTAGAAAATGATTTTCTTACTAAATTTTTGGTATTTTGTTTTGTATCCTTAGGATTTCAATGGTTCTTTTTTTTAAAATGTTTATATATTTAAATATTTAGTTTCTTTACTAAATGGCTCACTAATGTTGTGTATATATATATATATAATATATGATATATGTTGATTCAGATTTACTTCTTTTTAGTAATCTACACTAATCGTGTAAAGCTGTTTTTTGCTTCTCCACCAGATCTTCTACGAATTTTATGTTATATCTCTATTCAGTTTATAAGATCTGTTTTATTTGCAGTCAACTATTTGCTAATATTTGTTTTTAAACATGTAAGATGATGTTGAGACTTCACATTATCACTGTTTTTTTTTATCTTTTGGGTGTTTATTCATATTTTGATTTGAATATTTTATCTTCATATATTCCCATTTGAATTTGATTCATAACTTTGTCATATTATATTATTTAAATAAAATTTTAGAGGATGTTGCTCATGTGTTGTTCATGTTGACTAAGTTATAAGCAGTAAATATGTATACAAATCAGACTTTATTACTTATTATATTTTGAATGTAAAGTTACTCGTATGGTATTTTTCTTTGTTAATTTTTCAACCAGGCGCAACCAAAGTATTAATCTTTGTAAATTTAAATAATATGTTTGATTTAGAAACTTGTATAACCTATTAAAACTTTATATGATTATTCATAGTCAACACCAATATTTTAGAAATCATGAATATTTTTGGAACTATATTTCAAACTAATTTTCTTCTTTAATCTTGTTTTTTGTTATTTTAAATATCTACGATGGTAATTTTATATTTTATTTTAATTATATAATTTTCTGCAGGTTTAATATACTTAAAACATATATATTTTTAATTAATCTCTTTTGTTATTGATTTTTAAAATAGGTAGCATACATATTAATCTAATATCTTTTACATAAATGTTTTTTCTTTGTTAAATTTACTTTTTAAATTAATTAAAATGCTATTTTGACATGCTATAACTGGTTATTCTAAATTTTAAGTGAACTTCTCTCAAAAGCTTATACCATCATTTGCTTTTTTTAGTTAATATTTGTTTGGTAGTTAGCCTAAATATCAAGCTAATTTTACTTTATACGACTTTTTCCTTTGATAATGTACCTCTCTTGATATTGATTTTTATTTTATTTTAATACACCATTGTTTTTAAAATATTGATATTTTGCAGACATAATTTTTTTGTTAGTTAATATTCTGATATGAATTTTTTTAAGTAGTTAGTCAGATTAAGTCAATATATTTTTAAGTGTTTTTAAAAAAAAAAAATTTTGTAAAACTTAATTTTTGTTTTACTTTTTCAGTTAATTAATTTCTTAATATTAATTTCTTAATATTAATTTCTTAAATAATTAGCTTAAATATTTATATTATTTTTGTTAGTTAAGTTTTTTCAGTATTATTTAATTTTTTATTCTCTTACTTATTCTGTTTATATTGATTTTGTTAAATAAATAACATAGATATTAAGTTAATATCCTCTTTTTTTGTTAATTTAACTTTCTCAATATGGATTTTCATTTTAATTGTATTGACATGTTGTAAGAAATAATTTATGTTTTGGTTTTTGTTAGTTAAATATTTTTTTATATTGCTTTCTTCAGGAATTAGCATAAAGTATTATTTTTGGTTTGTTAAGGTTTTTGTGTTAATTGTTTAAATATTTCCTCAAAAATTATAAGTTTTAGATGACTTTCTTTTTTGATAATTTAAGATGAATTTTTTTTGGTAGTATTGATATTTTCAAATAACAATTTTATTTATTTATATGAAAATTTAATCTTAATATTTTTTTCTAAATAAATTACTCGTTTAAAATATATATGCTAATTTTTTTTTTAATTCAATTTTTTCGTTATTTATTTTTAGTTTTTGTGACAATGAGTTTCTATTTTAGTTTTACAATAAATTTAAATTTTTGACATAAATTTATTTTATTTAGTTAAAAAAAAATTATCTTAATTTTCCATTCTATTGTGATAATTTTATATTTTTGTATGTTTTAATTTATTTAAATTATTAATAATATTTTTATTTTTTATGTTTAATGAAAAATGCTGATATAGACTAGTCAGATTGAGTATATATGTCATATGTGGACGCTCTCATTGGCCGAAGACATGAACACGGTCCACAACTAATATATTTTAAGTTAGCAGTTCAGGTTTTAATTGTTTATCTTTATTAAAATTATAAAATAATTTAATTATGGTTTTAAATACGATTCTTAATACTTTTGTTCAATATATATGATTTTTTTTCATAATCTATTTATATGTTAATTTACCTTTTTATTGTTAATAGAAAAATAAGATTTATTTTTAAAACTCTTTTTTATTAATAACTAACTTAAAATTTAGAAAAATTTCTAATAAGAACAAAAATAAAATTAATTAAAATATTGAAAATTTTCTTATAACAATTAAAACGAATTAATTAATTTTAATATACAATATATAATTAACTAAAAATAATGATGATGTGTACCAATGTGGACACCTTTAGAGACATTTAACATCAACTTTTATTAGTAACTAGGTGATCGGCCCGCACATGTACGGGCTATAAAATATTTTATATGTTAAATATATGATTAATATTATATATTGAATATACTTTATCTGTATATGATTAATTCTGTATTAATAATAATATTATATAAACATTTAATAATTAAAAATAATAATAAATCAAATACAAAATGTTATAGATTTCAATAGAAATTGAAAATAAAATAATATTAAGCCAGATTTTTAAAATACTTCATTAGATAATAAGTGTAATTATGATAACTAAATAAACTAAAAATATTGAAATAAATAGTAATTTATTTAATTTTAATGGTTGGCCGACACGCATGTGCAATTATAATTTTTTATAGACATAATTAGTTACAATATTTAAGTATTGATTAATTTTTTATACATATATAAGCGTTATGTTTTTATATATAGTTCTAACGTTTAACAATAATCAAACAAACATTTCACATCATTTTGTGTCTTTGAAAAATTTATTATGTAAGTGTTACGTTTTTATACATATACAGTTTTAGTGGTTAACAATAATCACACAAATGTTTCATATCATTTTATGTTTTTTGAAAACTTGTTATTTTTTCTAACGTTAAAGTAACATATAATTACAAATGTAAAAGTTATATTAAATAATAATTAAATTCTTATAATATATTTTGAATATTATTTATATTATATTTCTTTTTTTCATTGCACAATATAATCTTGTCAATATATATATTTTAAGTATACATTTTTCTTTGACATATTGCTAAGTAAACCAAAATGGATTTTACTATCACTACTTATCCTAAGAGCGGGTAAATATTTCGTACCAACCACCTCATCGCACTTAGGACATATATATATTTTTTTTAATAAATACAAATTGACTAATAACTTACATTAAAATTAAACTGAAATTAAGATTAAGAAAATGTATGCACGACAAGTTTGCATGCAACTTTGATTTTTGCACAAATAATATTTATATCTACACGCATATTTGTACAAAAAATTTGAAGTATGGCTTTTATGTGTTATAAGAAAATAACAAAAGAAATGTTTTGAAATATATATTTTTATAATGTATATTTGACTTTTTAATTAAAAATATGTATATTTTTGCATGTAGGTATGAGTTATAAATAAGTGAATTGTAATATTTATGTGTTGGTTAATTTTCTGATATTTTCTGCAAATATTATGATTTTACAGAATACAGTTTTTTGGCATTTAACAACAATCACGAAAATCGGTTCTATCATTTTGTATTAAATCAAAATTTATTATTTTCAGCATTTTATGAGATATGGTTTCTCAATCAAAATGATAATAAAAATTTATTATAAAATTTGTGAATTCTTATTTTATAAAATCCTCTGGTAGCTCTCCGCCCACCTCTTCATCAATTTTTTTATAGCCCGCAATCGTTCGCTTCCACAAACTCTCTGTAACTGTAGCGTTTAAACCAACCGGATCCTAAACTTATATGTGTATGGTTGAAAGTGTAAAATAATATGTGTAATATGTAATTGTTATATTACAAAACAAGAGTTCTTCTATTCCTAACTTTGATATATGTGTTAATCTTATATATAATGGATCATAACATATACAAAACTTGATTTGTGAAATAATATTTTAAGATATTGAAAAAAATATATGCATGAAAGAATTAATATGTGTAAGATAATATTTTTAAATATTTCAAAATAAAAACATAAAATCGATCATAATTATTCTTTTTTGTCTTCTTTGACTCATATTTTTTTCTTAATCTTGAATAATATATTAAACATTAAGCTTATCTCTAATGTATTTTTCTATTTTTTTCTCTAAAATATAGATGGATTTCTCTCCAACATGTTTCTATTTTAATGGAAAAAAGAAAGATTGTTACTTTATCCTCCAATTATAGGAGAAAAAAAAACATCATTTTTCTAATTTAGAAGATTTAAAATAAAATTGGGTTAGAGATGCTTTAAACCAAAGACATAGCATGTTATTTTTACATAAAATCAAAGTCGTAAAGATTCATTTTTACTTTTACTTCTACTTCTTATTCATATGTTACATATCATAGTAATTATTATTTTCTGTTTATTGAAATTTATTATTTTTAGTGTTATAATCTATTATATTTATGTTATAATTTTATAATTTATTAAATTATAACTCAACCAATCAAAATATTTCGTTTATTTTAGAAAATTTGTCATGTCACATTTCCATGTCACAATTTCATGTCACCATTAATTTACACTAACTTTTGTTAATGTGATGACACATCAGATTTTTTCATTAAACATGCTTCTCAAATAATAGTTAAGATAGATACCTGAAAATGAATCATTGATAAATATAATTAAAAATCTTAGAGCTTAAAATGTTATTGTTTTCATAGGTGTATATAATGGGAGGTGCAACGGTATGGACCCGAACTCTTGGTCTAATAATAAAAATGTCAGATATTTTAAAAATAAAATCCCAAACATAAATCATTGACTAAATTAAAGTTAGTTAGTTAGTTAGAGAAAATGCTTTAAAATGATCTAGAAATGATAAAATAATGTGAAATGAGTACTTTATTAAAAGAAAATTATGAAAATAACCCTTCTTATGATTTTTTATAAATACTAGCACTACCTTTCTAACTATTGTTATTTGTAGACTAACGGCAGATTGAATGCATACTACTCGCAGACTGAATACAGACTACTAGCAGACTAATTGGTCAAAAAATTGAATGTAGACTACTGGCAGATTGATGGTAGACTAACTGCAAATTATTGACAGACTAACACTAGATTGAAAACAAACTAGTGGATCGTTCTTATGGATCATTTTAAAAAGTGTCATATTTCATAATAAAATTGTCAAGTGGGTCATTTCAAAGTTATTCCTTAAAGTTATTCATTTCACTTCACGGATTTCAAACTCATATAATAAAAATAAGAGTTATTTGTTTAAATGGCTCATTTGGTAATTTCATTGCAAAAAATGACCTCTCGTGAAGAAAATTGTAAAAAAAATTCATTAAAGTGTCTTTATTTTGTTATTAATTTGTATTTAATCTATGATTAGTTTACATTTAATCTCATTATAATTGTAGAATTAATTATTTTGCCATTAATTCAAACTTAGTTTGGGAAAAGTCTATATGAGAAAGTAATTAAAATATTAGTGCTGATATTTATAAAATATTTATTATAATGGTTACTTTTATAATTTTTCTTCGGTGAGATATACCTTTCACACTATTATGGTCATTTTAGATTATCTCATTTAAATAATAATAATAAAACTAACAGTGAACCTATAATGTTATTGTTATCATAGATTTGTTTTATTTTGTTTTACAAAGCATGTCCTTATTATGTAAAATAACTGGATGGGTACGATAGTCAATTAATGCGGATCAAATTAAAAAAAAAAGGTTCAAGTTTTTAAAATAAAATTGCAAGAACAAAATTAGCCTAGTAAGAAAGAGAACTATATATATATATATTTATTTATATATACTGTCATATATATTATATTATACATTACTGATTATCTAAAAACGGAATTTAAAACTTAAGTTTATTTTGGCTATCAAAATTTATTCCTTGACTTTACATTCAAGAAAATAAATTGTGGAAGTGCAGAGCAAAATGAGATACTAAAGGGAAAGGAAGGAGAAGAAGGGTTAAGGTGGGAGGACACTGAGAAGATGAGATATTCATGGAATGTTGCATGTGAAGTGATGAGAATTGTTCCTCCTATTTCTGGCACTTTTCGTGAGGCCATAGATCACTTTTCTTTCAAGGATTTCTACATCCCAAAAGGATGGAAGGTAAATATATCGACAAACATACCATGTTCATGTTTATGCTCATGCATTTAATCCATATATATATATATGTATATGTGCTGATGTAGTTATATTGGAGTGCCATCGCCACACATAAGAATCCAGACTACTTTCCAGAACCAGAGAGATTTGAGCCAAACCGGTTTGAAGGAAGTGGTCCGAAGCCTTATACATATGTACCATTTGGAGGAGGACCCAGGATGTGTCCAGGGAGAGAGTATGCTCGTCTAGAGATTCTTATATTTATGCACAATCTTGTTAAGAGATTTAAGTGGGAAAAACTATTCCCAATAGAAAACAAAATAGTGTTTGATCCCTTACCTATACCAGCCAAAGGTCTTCCCATTAGAATTTTTCCTCAATCTTGAGTCAAAGATTGATGTTGATGGATCATTGGTTATTGCTATATTATTCACAATAGCCTATAAACTTTTAGAGTGTATTGGTATTGTAATAGTTGATTATTGGATATTTGTAAAAGAATTTATTCATCTTTTTCACAATCAAGAGTATGTTCTTATGGCTATTATATAGTTAATTTGTCTTGATAACTATTGAGAGATCAGAGTATGAACATGAACTATGTACAATGGTTGATCTAATCAACACCTTTTTTCAACTTTGAACACTCCATATTACATTCGTTCTCTTCCACCTAATAATTCAATATTTATTCACTTATTATCATCTACAATGATTTTGTTTAATAAAATTTAATATTTTATTCTAAATTTTTTATTTTTTATTTTTATATTTTCATTTATAGTACTACTACTATATATATTAATAACAATCGATCGAAACTAAATTAAAATAACTAAATATTTAAATATTTCTAAATAATATTTGTTTTATTTCTTTTTTATTATTTATTCTTGAAAAATATATTCTAAAACAAATAATATTACAAAAAACTTGAAATGCAATACAATATATTGATAAACACACGATACAATAAATAAAACACACATCAGTTAATTAGTATAATAGACTCAACTCACTAACAATAAAACTTTTAAATCACACATACACTTGAAAATATATTTAACCATGAAACATTCCGAATTTTGCCCATATGTGTTTGATTAAAATTGTTTGCAATTCGTGATGTATTTTTGAATCACGCAACTCGGATCTAGCACGCACATGATTTGCAAATACAAGTAGTACCTCAGTTGTGAATGGTTGCAGAGTACTATACCCACTTGCCTCAAGTTGATCATAATCGTTCCAATGTTGAGCATACATATCTCATTTATCCTCAATAGTCATATTATGCAATATGATACATGACTTCATGATGATAGTCAAATCAGTTATGTTCCACATGCGAGCTGGTTCACGAATGATTTTAAATCAGGCCTGCAGCACTCCAAATGCACATTTGATGTACTTCCGACACCCCTCCTGATGTTGTGCAAATAACTTATATGGTTCACTCTGAGAAAATCTAATTGATTTAACGAAAGTTGGATAAGAAGGAAAGATACTGTTAGCCAGATAATATGTCATATCGTACGGATGTTGGTTCACGAAAAAGTTCACTCTTTGAGTATTTCTTTATTCAACATCATCAAACATTGGTGAACGGTCTCAGAACGTTTATATCATTCAATGTGCTCGGACATCCAAAAAAGACATGCCATATCCATAGATTATGAGATGCATTTGCTTCAAGAATAACATTGGTTTTATAATACTCAGCAATTTTACCCCAATATGATTCACCTTTTTGGTTTCTACCGGCAATGGTATTTGTTCCATATTTGATCCAGCCACTCACTATGACCAAATTTTTCTTAGTTATCAAGTTAGGGCTTCTTCTGTGAGCAAGAGTTGAATCCTCTGCATTTGGAGTGGCTTCATTAGCACCATTCATACCACCAAGAGCCATTTATGTACAAAATTTAGATAATTCAATTGTTCCAACATTTGGAACAATTTCATTACTCGTTGGAGTAGAAGAATAAGAGGGAGCTTGAGATGAATATATAGCATCGTCAGTCCATAATATGGCTGATAAGACTAGTTGGTGACATGAAGAAATTTGGAGGAAAACCATAATTTGGTATATTTTTGGGAAGGACTTGAAGATTGGTTTTAAATTTGAAATTTATTAGGATTCGAGTAGTTAAAAGGATAATAGTAGAATTCTGAGTATTAAAAAGGTTATTATTGAGATCTATTTTACTAAAAAGATGTTTAAAAATAAAAAACAAACACTACAAGAAAAACTGTATATAGCTACAACTTAGCCACGACATAATCGTAGCTATATCAACATAGCCACAATTCAGAGAAACATAAAATTTTGTGGCTGAGGGTGGCAATTCGTGGCTATAAAGACACGAATAAATGTTGTAGCTATATTTGTGTCTAATTTTCTGTGTATAGCCACAAAAGTGTTTTGTATCAATTTAGCCACAAATAACCACAAATAGATTCGTAGCTACCAAGTTTTCCCACTAGTTTTAAAAATTTGATCAGTTAGGCACAAGTTATAACGTGGCAATTTGTAGCTAAGTTATGTCGGCACATATATTTTATATTGGGACACGAATATGTCGTGCCTAATTGTAACAACGTTAAAATCTACTATTCGCCAATGATTTGTGTGTATAGCCACAACATAGTCGTGGCTAGTTGTAGCATAAGTAAAATATCGTGACAAGTCGACACAAAAAATCTTCTCAACTATTTTCATAACTTTTGCAGAATGTAGCTTTGGCGGGGAATATGGATAGAGAATATATTTGATATGGGCTACAACCGAGTTGTGGCTAGTTGTGGCCCAGATTATGATTATAAATATCAACATTTCGATCATTGTGGAACCATAAAAACTAAGTCACAAACACAAAAATGTTTATTTTCTTAGAATTTAGAGAATTGATATATAATCGATTTTCAGATACAACTTGAAATCTATTTCAAATGATTTTTGTTGAGGGAATAAACAATTTTGTTTCTTTTGCTTGTAATCAAAACTCTTATGTCGAGCGTAATGATTTACTTTGTCCGTGCAAGAAGTGCAAGAACCAGAAGCGTTATGATGCTGATACCATAAGGGATTTACAGAAAATTATTATGTGTGGACGCATCATGGAGAAAATTGCTACTTTGGTGGTGAAGCATCATCAAGTCAACACATGGTCGAACAAGAAACATGGAACAATTATTCAAATATTCAGGTTCCGGTGTATCATTATCACGATCCAATTGAAGATGTTCACATGTTTCCCGATGGTGTCAATTTCCCCGAAAATAACCAAGAACCTTTTTACGAAGCAGCTCAAGATGATGTTTTCCAGGCGTTAGTAGCGGAAAATTAACCTCTTTATAAAGGATGTGCTGACGGGATTTCTCAATTGTATCTGAGCTCGAAAGTGATGAACTGGAAAACCACATACAATCTCTCGGAGGCCTTCCTGGATGATGTTATCCAAATGTTTAAAGCTGTACTTCCATAGCCTAATAAAGCTCCTAAAGGGTACTACGAGACGAATAAGTTAACGCCGTCTCTAGGTTTGCCACATCATAAAATCGATGTCTCTGAAGATAATGGTATGTTATTCTGGAAGAAAGAAGATCGTGACTTGGTTCATTGTCGGTTTTTTGGAAAATATCGGTACGAACCAAATGTGGGTCGGTCAAGGAAGAAGATACCAAAACAGAGGATGTTTTATCTGAAATTTCGGATCGGTTGAAGCGATTGTATCAATCAACAACGTCAGATGGCATGCAGAACATGTGTCCCCCAAAGGAGAAATGCATCACCCCTCATATGGAGATGCATGGAAGCAGTTTCAGAAGGTATATCCTGCATTTGATTCAGAGAGTCGTAATATTTATCTAGGCTTATCAACAAATGGATTTAATCCAATTGGTATGAATGAAAAATCATATTCCGTATGGCCCGTCATAGTAACACCATACAGTTTACCCCCGGGATGTGCATGAAAAAAGAATTTTTCTTTCTCTTTATATTAGTTCCTGGGCCAAACCATCCAAAGAAAAGTTTAGATATCTATCTTCAATCGTTGATTGAAGAATTACGTAATTTATGGAATGATGGTGTTGAGACATACAATGTCTCAAGGAAGGAAAATTTCACGATGCGTGCTGCCTTGATGTGGACCATCAGCGATTTTCCAGCATACGGTATGCTATCTGGATGGGTGACCCATGGTAGATTGGCTTGTCCGTACTGTATTGATGAGACAAAGTCATTTTGGTTGCCAAATAGAAGAAAACACTCTTGTTTGATTGTCACCGGCAGTTTTTTGCCTCTCAAACATCCCTATAGGCGGAATGTGAGAGCTTTTCTAAGGGAAAACAATGCATGATTATCTTCCACCATGGTTAAATGGTGAAGAAATTCTTCATGAGAGGATAAACAACATTCACGGGCTATTCAAGACTGTTGATTATGGAGGCAAAGGACATGACAATCCTGCTAGAGAGATTGAGGGGTATGGTGTTCACCATAATTTGGTGAAAAAGTATATTTTGGGAGTTACCATATTGGGAGCATCTACTTCCCAGACACAACCTTGATTTCATGTATATTGAGAAAAATTTATTCGACAATCTCATCAACACGGTATTAAATGTTTCAGGAAAGACAAAAGATACCGTAAAATCAAGAATGGATCTCTCTTCGTTTTGCCGAAGATCCGACTTAGAGGTAACTCAAGATGGAAAAGGGCCTGTTCCAATCTTTAGATTATCAAAGGAGGGTAAACAAAAATTTCTGACCTAGTTGAAAAACGATATCAAATTTCCAGATAGATATGTTTCAAAGTTTTCACACTTTGTTAGAGTGGATAGTAGAAAGATAACAGGTTTAAAAAGTTATGACTGTCATGTCATCATGCAACGACTTCTACTAGTTGCATTTGCAGAGCTTGTTCCAACAAATGTTCACACGAAAATCACAGACATGAAATATTATAGATTTAATTACTTATACTTATTTAATGCTATTAACTTTATTTTATTTTATTATATGTATGTGTAGATATTGCACTCTTCTTTCGAGATATATCTACAAAAGTTATGAAGATCGAAGATGTTGCCATATTAAAAGAAAATATTGCCATGAAGATTTGCAATCTTGAAAAAATATCTTCTCCGTCGTTCTTTGATGTAATGGAACATCTACCTGTGCATCTTCCAGACGAAGCTTCTTTAAGTGGTCTGGTGCAATATAGGTAGATGTATCTGTTTGAACGATACATGTATCATCTGAAAAAGAAAGTTAAAAACAAGGCACGAATTGGAGGGTCAATAGTTGCTCAGTGTGTGAACGAAGAGATATCTTACGTAACAACCAATTGTATTATCCCTTCAGAAGTTTCTAACCCCAAAGATGATGCCCACCAAGTATGATTCACTTACAATTATCCCAATGTTTTGATCATGTTCCAACAAGTAGGAAGAATCGGTGGCAAATCAACAAAGGCGTGGTTAAATGACGAAGATTATAATGTGTTCCAAACATTTTTACTACTCAATCTTGAAGATTTTAC